AATTTTATGTTGATGCTGTTTTTTATTTCTCTATTGCATATTATTATTATAATTTATTAAATAAATATCAATAAAATAATGAAATAAAACTTTTTAAATTACCTACATACTAACAAATTTTTTTAAGTCCGGACCATTCTGACGTGCTGCCGCATTCTATCCTCACTGATATTGTTATTTACAACCACCCTAATGTCTTATTGTTAAGAGTAATTCGGGTACCCGACTCAAGATTTACGACAGTTCAAATATCGTGACGAGAACATAACATTGCTACAATGCTTAAGGGATAAAACAGTGTTTTTAGTCCATGCCTGAAAGGTAAATCTTTTACTTGTGTCATTTAATCATAAAAGGGGTATTTTTCTGACGTTCGCGGATAGAACAATTTAATACTAGTCTATTTCGTAACAAAACTTTTTAACAAAAATGTACTTTATACATATTCCACTAGAAATAAGGTCGTTATTAAAACTCCTAATACAAAATTGATGTACTTAAAAAAGCAAATATTCTATATTTTATGTACGAGTATTTCATAGAATTTGAAAAAATTTGAACAAATTACAAACAGTTTCTTCTTAATTAATTCTACTTTAACAATAATTTCTGTTTAATTAATGATCCTTTTACCAAAATATAAATTAATAAAAATATGTAACATTAGTAATAACCGATCAGACTGCACAAGGGTAGTAAAATAATAATGCAAATTAGCAAATTCATTATGGAAATGCAAGATGGTATCATTGTAAAGTGAATTTGCAAATTCCAACTGGCTCATCAATATCAAAGCACGACTTTAATCTCATTATATCTCCTTTTGAAACGACATTTGAATTAAACTTCCCGATCGGAATATGACTATTGTGTGTTAAAAAGATAAAATGTCCCTAATTTGAGTCTTATGAAAAAAATTAAGAAAATTAACGAAACGTAGAACTTTAATGAGTACAAAAACTTCATCGATTAATAAATATTCTAAATTTATACAATGACAAAATATTCATAATACTCGTACGCTCTCAGTGATAAGCCGTGAGCTAGTTATAAATCCGTCCTAAATTTAAAAACACACTAATTTGAAATAGATAGGGTAATAAGCCTAGAGCGACTACGGGTTGTAATTTTGATAATGACCTTGATAACGGCAAAATATGGCATTTTTGCAAATCCCAGCTATTTATTTGCACGAGGGGAATTAAGCAAGGATTAGAGTGGTTTGGTTGTAGAGATAAAAGGTTTATTTTTCTCGTAATTTCATTACCCTCATGCGGAAGAAATTTCTGAAATTTTTTCTCTGTGTGTTTTCTTTTTGTTTTTCATAATAATCAAAACTTTGATATGAAATGTTAAAGGTTACGTTTAATGTAAATTGTTAAGTTTTCTTAAGATGAAAGTCATCAGTATATAATAAAATGACTCGGCCAGTAAACGAAATTTATTGCTATTTTATATTTAGTGTTTTTTGGATCCTTCTTTATGCACAAAAAAATGTTACAGAAGAACATGTGCAAACAAGTACGTATAAAAACACCTAAAACAAAGACAAAAATTCTTTAATCTCCCACACTGTCAAAATTTACGGTTTTTCTCCCGTGTAAGGAAGTTGTGAAACTGTTTGGCATTTTTCAATACGAAACGTCAAATTATTTTTAACAGATTTAAAGTTAAAGCCTTATTGAGTCTAATTCGAAGAATCGTTACACTCGTGGTTTAATAACCCACTCGGTGAAATAATCCGTCCGATTTACAATCAAACTCATCGAATAATAGTTATTTATACCACGAGTGTAACGAGTGGTTTATCATCCATGAGGTGGAATAAAGCGTCCGATTTACACTCAAGCGAGTTGAATACAACATTTTATTCTTTGAATTAGACTCAATAAGGCTTAAACTTGCTTTAAATCTGTTAAAAATAATCTGACGTTTCGTATTGAGAAATGCCAAACAGTTGTCAAAACTTCCTTACACAGGAGAAAAACCGTAAATTTTGACAGTGTCGAAGAATAAATAACTATTACGTTGTTTTTTAGAAATGAAAACCTACTGTACTACACCAGAAGGTGTAAAAGGATTTTGTATGCCTTTATCAAATTGTTCAAATTTAGTTGGGTTAACAAATAAGACAGAGGCTAGAAAACATTTAAAAAAATCTAAATGCGGACCTAGAAAAGACGATCCAGATAATCCTAAAGTTTGCTGTGGCACTCATAACTATCTTGGCAAGAGTTGTTTTAGTTTACTTAAAAAAAAACTTTTAATTGTATTTTGCAGCAGATGTTTTTCCAAAAATTTGCGGTGAACAAAATATTACAATAAGAGGTAGGATATTGGGAGGCAAAGTAGCACGTCTAGGCGAATTTCCATGGTTAGCAAGATTAATACATAAGAGAAACGGTTTTAAAAAAGCTGGATGTGCAGGATTTTTAATAACTTCCAAATTTATAGTAACCGCAGCTCATTGTTTGGAATCAGATATGATTCAATATTTAGGACCACTGTACGTCATATTACATCACAATTACAATTAAATTAAATTTTAAAATAAATTCTTGTAGATATGAAGTTGTTTTAGGCGAACATAATACTCAAACAGAAATCGATTGCGAATCCAAAAATAAAACTTGTGCACCAAAAAATCAAGTAATTAGAGTAAAGAAAACAATATCTCATTCTATGTATGATGAAAAATCAAAACAACATCATCATGACATTGCTTTGATTCAACTGAAAAAATCTGCAAAATTTACTTCTCATGTCGCTCCTATATGCGTGCTTGAGAAAGTAGAATTTAAACCGTACGAATATTGGATAAGTGGTTGGGGCCTTACTAATGATTCCAGTTAACAATCACAATAAAAAATTAATCAAATTAATTGATGTTTTTCAGATCCCAATTCTCAAAGCAGTGTAAAATTAAAAGTTTCAATTCCACCTTTTTCTCATTTAAACTGTTCAGAGAAATACAAAAGCATAGATATGAATATAACCGATATGCAGCTTTGTGCGGGTGGAATAAAGGGTAAAGATAGTTGTTCTGGAGATTCTGGAGGACCACTGATGTTGGTCAAAAACCGAAACCATTGGTTTGCTGCCGGAGTTGTGAGTTATGGTTTGGGATGTGGCAAGGAAAATTGGCCAGGAATTTATACTAACATCACCAGTTATACTAATTGGATCAGAAAAACAATTTGGCAGAATGAACACAAAAAGAAAAAGAGCAAAATTATGCATTGACCAAAGAAATAACCACTATTTAATACTTTTTAATAAATTAACCAAATAAGTCTTATAACGAAATTGTTAAGTTTAAAGAGTTAAATAAAATTGTGAAATTCAGGCTGCACTTCACTGATATTGTGATCATTTACATTCCCTGTTCTATGACATAATAATTAAAAAGAGATTTTAAAACTGGTGAATATATTTAACCAACTTTACATTAACACTTAGTCGATCTTGTAGAGAGTTCATTATTTAAAAATATTATTATGACACCTACTTAATTATAAAATAGCCTGTAGGTAGGTAGATAATGTGTGAACTTGTTGGTCGTGAAACCCATTCATTGGAAATTACGTTGGTAATACAAATAGTTGTTTATAAAGTCTGCTTCGTTCTTGTGACCTTTCTCTTCTTTGCTATCAAATAAGTTAAAGGTTAGCCCGAGTAATTTTTATTAAAATAACCGCAAAATATCATGACAATAATGAGTGTACAATGTTTAAAATACAGTGTTACCAAACTTTTACTTTTCGCTTTACTTGCACATCAACAATTTAATTATATTTTCACGGCAAACACTGAATCCGTTGAAGGTAAGCTTCAATCAAGTCATTAACTCCTTCACATTTTATTGTATTCTAGTGCCTTTTTTTTTCTCTTGTCAATTGATAAACGATGCAGATGCGTATTGTGTGCCTATAAAAAACTGCCAAATCGATCTAAAATCCTTGAATGAATCTGATTTAAATGAAAGACGATGTGGGCCTTCAAACGAAAACAGGAAGAATCCTCTTGTTTGTTGTGAAACAAACCTAGTTGTATTTTCTCAACCTAAAACAACCACTCCAACGTCTTCTGCAAAATGTGGAGTCCAGAGTATAGTTTCTAATAGAATTATCGGTGGAGAAACTGCAGAAGAAGCCGAGTTTCCTTGGTTAGGAAGGATATTACGAAGAGACTCCATTGGTGATTTGATTTTTAGTTGTACTGGGACACTTATACATCCCAATGTTGTGTTAACAGCTGCACATTGCTTGGAATCTAAAGAACTTGTCGAAAATGGAGAATTGTATGTATGTTTCAATTTTTCTTTGTTTTTCCTCCAGAAAGAACTTCCAGATATGCCGTTTCATTAGGCGAACATGAAACTAGTTGTAGTTCCCCAGACAGTAGCTGTTTAAATAACAAACAAACAATTGTGGTATCTGAATACGTCATCCATCCAGACTATGACTCCAATTCTTATAATCATGCCAACGATATTAGTTTAATTATTTTAAAAAACAGAGCTAATATTACTGATTACGTTTCTCCTATTTGTTTGTTAGAAAAAAACGCGAATGTGGTAGAGTACACTGTATCTGGTTGGGGAAGAACCAATAATGGTACGTTGCATCTGATTTATCTCCAGTTAAGCGAAAAGGAATTTTTAGAATCGTCAAGTGTGATTAAAAAGAAGACGGTTATACCACCGTATTCTTGGACTCTATGTTCTCAAAAGTATCAAAGTGTTAATGTAACTATAACAAAAAAACAAATTTGTGCTGGTGGGGTTAGAGGTAAGGATACGTGCCAAGGCGATTCTGGAGGACCACTTATGACACTGAAGAATGGTAGATGGTATGCAGCAGGTGTGGTTAGTATAGGAGTTGGGTGTGGAACGGAAGGATGGCCAGGGATTTACATCAATATACCCAACTATGTGGACTGGATCAAAGAAGTTATACGTGTAAAAAACCTGTTATAAGTTTGTAATGCAACGATCCTCCAAAAAAAAACTGTTATAAATATATAACTACCTACTGCAAAAATGTATAAAGCTCACCTAATATTAAAAAAAAAAGATTAATAAAGATCTATAACAAGAATATTTTTTCTTAATAAATAACCGCCGTCATTCAACATTTGAAAATGTGTTCGTTATCAAAAGCTACAGGTAAATAAGGTGGTGAACACTAATATCTTATACTTTTTCGACAGTGTTTACTTCTTATATTCCTGTTAATAAACGCTCTTCTGTAAAATACGTCCTATTATTATAAGTATACAGGATGTTCGTTTTTCGAGCTTCACTATGGGAATCTCAGTTATTATAAGAGATACAAGGTCGGTTAAGTTAGGGCAAAGTTGGGCATGTTTATGCTGAACAATAAAATTTACTGTCTTATTTAAAGTTTTTGAATTATTGGAAAAAAACGAAAATTTGTAATTTTAGTTTTTATTTTTTCAAGCAAAAGCTAAAAAACCTAGACGTTTTTAACTAGAACGTTCTTAAGAAACTTTTTTAGAAGAAATCTAAATCTGGCATCGTATTTTTCAAAGCGTTCTTGATATCAGAGATACAAAACTCAACTTTGGATTTTCTTATGGACGCCCTATTTGATTTATGTAATAAAAAGTCTTTTTGTTCCTGATTACAACGATGTATCACACGATATGATCAAGTTTTACATGCTGATCAAAATTAAGAAAAAGCGTTTTTGTAAAGAGTGCTTTGGAAAAAACGCTACCAATTTTTAGATTTTAGTTATTTAACAAACTAAATGTTGGCAGTTCAATTGAATTTGGATCTGAAAGTCACATTTCTGTCAAGCTTACCTACTTAAAAACAAAAATTTTGAAATAGGAACAACGTGATAAACTAGTATTTATTCTTCGCAAAACAAAACATACAATAGCGGACAGGGAATTTTGGACATCAAATTTATGTCAGTTCAAAAAATACCATTGTAAGCTACGCTTTATTGTCATTATGATTTATTCTTGGCATTGATTTTCTAATACAATAATGTCAGCAGTACGAGTTTTTATATAAGTTCAATAAATTATTTTGATTTGTTGTCATTTTATCTCTAGCTATGAGGATACAAATTACAAAAACCGAAAGTGAGGTTAGTTGCCTAAGGCCCGTTTTACATTTACATTTTTATGTCAGTCAAATAACCAATCGTCCAAAATTCCGTGTCCGCCAGTATATTACAAACAGGTATATTACAAAAAAAAATGAAAAAAGCAATATTAAATGAAATAAACTTTATTTTTATAATAATTAGAGTTCGGATTTTATGCAAATTACATATTTACCTATTATTTGTAAGAATATTTTTTTTTAATTTAGGATGTGCACAAAACATTAAAACAAATTGAATAGGCCAATTAAAAAAATACATATTTTGCATATTTTTAAGTTTTTGGAAGTTGTTGCATAACTTCGATATTTAGTGCATAAAGCATATTTGATAATATTTGATAATTTTGCCATCATATAAGAAAAAGTAACTGGAGGTTTATTGCTTTATCGGACTAAGTATTAACTCTGACTTTTTAGAATTCAGTGAAGCTTTACTCAGATTTTTTTAAAGCAAATAGGCTGTAATTGTAGTCACTCGCTGGGATTCATGGTTGGAGGCACATTACCACAATGTTAAAAATATTACTTCAGATTTTCTGAATCAAAAATAAAATGTAAAAATTTATCTGATAAAAAAGAAATAAAACAACAATTAGCATTTATTAAAGCAAATTATACGTTTTTAAGGAAGCATATTACTCCAATTAAGTAAGTAAGTAGGCATATTACTCCAATAGAAACTAGTCAAATGTCCCTTTCTGAGGCAATTAATATTGTGAATGTAAGTGAAATACGAAATATTAGCGGATCATCGTCAAAAGTTTACAATAGAAAATTTAGAAAAACATCCTATTATTAAAAGTGGCGTTCCATGACAACTAATATTTTTGACTAGTTGATAATTAAGTACCTACTTATCTATAGCATAACTTGCGATGTAAATTAAAATTTTTGTGTTATTTCTTATATGTGTTAATAAATCATTTAAATATTTAGTTTCCTTGAGTGTTTGCAATTTTCCATTATTCTTACATCCCAAAGATTCTGCATATTTAAGCATATTTAGTGAAAAACAGCATATTTTTCTCTTAAACGCTGCATATTTATGCATATATTTTCAGTAATTTTACCGTATAAAAATCCGAATTTTAAAATAACTGTTAAATACACTATACTCTAAATAATAAAATAAAAGAGTAAGAATTTATTCAACGTAGCTTTTTTAAATATTTTTTAAATATTTTCATTTTTTTCAAAAATAAACACTAAGTTTTACGAATCTTGTGCGCTATTTTATCATTACGCTGTATATTATAATCTTACATTTTACAATATGTGTATTCCCGTTTATTTATAAAAACCGGGGAACACACATCAACGAAAAAATAATAAATTTCCAGAACTGGTTAGTTTTATCTTAAGTTTGATTGATACAATTTTCCGGAAATTCCCTACCACATTTTGACATTTCATTGAATGTCGAGCACATCAACTCTTTTTAAATTACAAAATAATTTCTTCTATCACTTGGGGAATACCTTGAATCATTATTTGTCCGAACAACTTGCGACTGTAAAAACTAAACTCGAAAGACTAGTGGCTTGCTTCTTAGTTCAACAAACATCGTCAAGGCGGACGGCAGCGATAAAATTATGCGGTGTTACAGAATCCAGTTGTTTGTGGTTTGTTCACTACTTTTCTTCATTAATATTAACGCACGTAAGTAATTATTTATTATCACTATCATTATTTATCACTCTTCTTAACTATTTAATGATATCAAAATTACACGATTATGTTAAAATTAAAGAAAAAAGTCACTTGTTACTTTTATTTACAGAATTCTTTCCAGAACGAAGATCGCCATGTACAACACCTAACGGCGACATAGCTCGATGTATCCCAATTAGCTCCTGTCCGATTCTTTATGACGCTGTCACCACTCGAGATAAACAGCAATTAAAATTTTTAAAAGAATCACAGTGTGGGTATGGCCGCGACCCATTGGTTTGTTGTGGACTTCATAACAACTATCGTTTGAATCCTGGCGATTTTGCCTATGATGATGAACCTTTTAGTTGGGGTAACTCTCATCATAGAAGAAATTCAGGATCAAACAATTGGGACAACGACGATACTTCAAACAATAGAAGAACAAATAACAATAATAATAATGAATGGAGCACCAGTAGTACAAATGATTGGGGTAGTAACAACAGAAGAAGAACAACAACTCAAAGGACAAATTCAGAAGAATCTGGTTGGGGCACTAGTGATAGACCAAATAGAAGAACAAGTAGTGATGATTGGACTAGTAGTAACAATAATAGACGAAGGACAACACAAAGAACAAATTCGGAGGAATCTAATTTTGAAAGAGAAAATGACAGAAGTAATTCGGGTTCAGGTGGCAATAGACGAACAAATCAAAATTCTAGTAGTAATAGCAAGCTACCTGATAGGTCTTCTTGTGGAATTCAGGTTATAAATAAAATTATGTTTGAAAATTGTAAACGTTAATTTTTTTTTAGGAAGTTGACCGAATTCTCGATGGCCAAGCAACCGACTTGCGAGAATTTCCATGGATGGTTTTGTTGCAATACCGTAAAAAGTCTGGGAATTTAGTGTTTTCTTGTGGTGGAACTCTTATTTCTCCTCGCTACGTTTTAACAGCAGCTCATTGCGTTCGAGGACAAATCCTTACAAAAATCGGGCCATTGTAAATAGATTCGCTTATCTCAAAAACGCTCTAACATGTTAATTGTAGGGTCAATGTCAGACTAGGCGAATACAACACTGAAACAGAACGAGACTGTAGCAACCAACTAGGATTTGAAATTTGTAACGAAAAACCAATAGATTCAGAAATTGATAAAGTAATACCCCATCCTGATTACAGCGATAACAGTGCTGATAGATATCATGATATCGCTTTAATCAAATTGAAACGAAAAGTCTCATACACCGATTTCATCAAACCCATATGTTTGCCAGGGAAATCAGAAAAATCAAGTGTTGGAGAACGATTAGTGGTAGCAGGATGGGGTCGAACAGAATACGCCAGTAACAGTCCTGTTAAACTAAAACTCTGGGTTCCTGTAGCAGAAACATCCCAGTGTTCGAGAAAATTTAAATCGGCTGGGGTGACGTTAGGGAATAAACAATTGTGTGCTGGAGGAGAACAAGGCAAAGATTCTTGTAATGGTGACAGTGGTGGACCTTTGATGGCAACCACAAATGGTACAGCGCAATGGTACATTGAAGGGATTGTTTCATTTGGAGCAAGATGTGGTAGTGAAGGATGGCCAGGAATTTATACCCGAGTGTCAGAATATCTCGACTGGATTAGAAACAATGCCAATTAAACTGGCTCCTCACTGTTATTTTTAACGTGTATATTTATTTATGATATCACTTAATTAAGTTTCGAATAAAACATAAAATTAACGGACCAGAAATTTTCTATGATCTTTATAAAGATGCAGGATTTTCGGTCGAAAAGCATTTAACATTACAAATGTGTATAAAGTTTATCAATAATTGGTGATAACCTTATAAAAATATCATTTAACAGCAGCAGAGTTAATATCCATTGTAAATAAAATTGTTTTGAAAACAAGAGAATTACTTACATACATATTGTTCAAAGTAATAAAATAATTGTTAAAATCTCTCTATGAAAGTCTTAAAAAGTGATTGTATTTTTTGTACCAGTAATCTTTGATCCAATCAAATTAAAATGAAAAAACAATAAATTATAAAAAATAATTTAAAAGAAATAAAGAACGGTTTGGACCAAGAATTTTACTAAATCCAAATACTAAGAATAAAAAGAACTTGTCAAAAATAGATTTGCCTATAATAACTAGTATTATTAATCGTTCAACTAAGATAACCTCTGGGAAATACCATCATTTCAAACTACAGTTGAATACACACGTAGTCTTGTTTCCCAAATTTGTTGATGCATAAGTGAAAAAAACATGTTTCTTGCAATAAATATCGTCTGTAAGTACTTGATGTAGGAGTATTACTTTAATAAAAAATAAACTTTTAGGGATTTTAATTTCTACTGTAGTCGCCCTACCTCACGATGAAGGTTGTATCAAAATAAAAAAATGTCCAGCAGCCATAGATCATATAAAAAATATTAAAAATGATAAAACAAGCTTGGAAATTCTTGAAAAAGCACATTGTGGTTTTGAAGGACAAGAACCTATAGTCAAATGCCACAGTATTCCTCGTCTGTCAAGTGCAACAAGTAATGCAGATTGCATTCCTTTGCAAGAATGTCCAGCTGCACTCAGATTAATAGATTTAAAAGTATTCGATCCTGCATTAGTAAATTTGCTTCGGAAGAACCATTGTGGCGAAATCAAATCACACCCACTTATTAAGTGTCAAACTATTACTAGTGCCTTAATTTAAATTCTTTTTTAAAATGCAACAAAAATAAAAATTATACACTATTAAAGCTTTTTTCAGTAAAAAGTTGTTCATTTTGGTAATAGCTCAATAATGCCTTTTTGTTATCCTATTTTGCTGCAGATGAGTTGCAATTTGTAAACGTGTTCTAGTTTCAGTTACGAGTTACGAGTAAGAGAAAACAAAACTAAAATGTTGGACAAGAATTCAAAACATTGCAATTTAATTTTAGTTTTGTTTCAAATTTGTTATAAGAAAAAATGTTATGAATTAGTGTAAATAATATCCCTAAAACTTTTATAGTACCTGTGCGAAATACATCTACTGCTGGATCAAAAAGGTTAAAATATAATTAATTAAGCAAAATTTTCCTGAATAACATTATTTTTGTATGTTGTGTATATTTAAACGATTGCCCCAAAGCGCTAGAACTAATCCGAAATCGAAAAAATGATCCAAAAGTAGCAGAATATGTAAGATAGTAATAGTGTTAGACAGGATATGATATTCCGTTCTAAAATTTCGTCCTTTACTATGAACAGATCAAAATCTGCATCCAATGAGTATGGTACACAAGGCACTTCGACAAAAATAACAAATAGCAAAAGAATGAATTTCCGGGGCTAGCATTGTTGAAGTATAAAAATCGAACAAACTATAGAGAATACAGGTGTCATAGTTCTTGATTAAGTAACAAATATGTCGTTACAGCAGCTCACTGTTTAACTTATTCTCACACTCTCAAACCAGGATATGAAGATTTGTAAAACGTGTATGAAGCTTGTAAATGAAAAACTGTGCGATCAAAAAAAAATAGAGTAGGCGTCCATCAAAGTCTATAGTTGGCAACACATTCTCTCCCAGCCCCCAGATTCCCATCTGGGCTGGAAATTTTCCACACAAACTGAAAGTAAAAATGACCATTCACCGTTTTCGTCTTGTACAGCAATAACAATTTTCTGCTCTAAAGTGAACGTTATTTCACTCAAAAGGAATAAACTTGTCAAAGTTTCCGCTGACATTTGATGTCAAAAATTAGAATTGCCATTTGAAGGACTTTAATCACCGCCTACTCTATTTTTTTTTGATCGCACGGTACTAGGTGAATACAGGGTGCGCCAGAACTCGCGCCCCAGAGAAAACTGCCATATAAGGTAAGATCCCAGAAACAGAATTTTTTTTGCTACAGACTATTAGAAGAGGAAACAAGGAAGATATATCCTAAATTGTAACTCTGTTTAATGTTATTTGTGGTTTTTATTGGTAAAATTTTACATTTTTTTCATGTTCCTGGTATCTTATTTTACTTGAAATTTTTCTCTGAGGCGCGAGTTCTGGCGTACCCTGTATAATATTGAAACAGATAAAGACTATGTCATACCTGATGACTGTACTGAACCTATGCAGAAGTTTCCTCCAAAGGCTATTTTTATCCATCCAATTTTTTTTTCAGGAGCATTAAGTGATATTGCTTTAGTACGACTAAACGGAACCGCACAATTTTCCGGTATCTATAATTAGCCCAATTAAAATACAATTAACATCACATAACCTTGCAGATTTTGTTAAACCGATTTGTTTGTCAACAAATACCCTTAATTTAAACACAAACGAAAGATATCCGGGTGGGGCAAAACTGAAAACAGCCACATTCGTAATTTGTTTATCAAATTTTAGTTTAAAAACAATAAGTAATGCAAAACCAAAGGGTAGAATGAATTTTTTTACAAAAAATTATTGTTCCATGCGCCTTGATGATAGTCAAATTTGTACTGATTCTTCAGATGGTACTGGTACACACGTGTACGTGTTAGGGATTTATTTTAGTAGGGATTGTTTCATTTGGGAAAAATTGTGATTCCGAGTCTGCTGTTTATACAAATGTAATGAAATTTGTCAATATAATATATTTGTAATAATGTATTTGTCAATATACAGGGTGCGTCAGAACTCGCACCCCAGAGAAAAATGTCAAATGCCGGGGGTCAAAGGTCGCCAAAAAGTGCAGATAAAGAGGTAATTTTTGCTTGCAAAAGAAAGTTATTAGATTCTTAAATCCACCAATTCCAGAAGGGCAAGCAAAAATTACTTCTTCGGCTGCACTTTTTGAGGACCTATTGCCCCCGGCATTTGACATTTTTCTCTGAGGCGCGAGTTCTGGCGCACCCTGTATAATATTTTCGTATGACAATAAATAAAAAAAACAATTGGATTGTTAATTGTGAATGTCAATTGGATTCTTAATACTATGTCTTCGAGCTGATGATTAAAGTTCACTGGTGTCTAGTAGTCTCTTTTTATTATATCTTGTTCAATGTCCTCGATAATAACACTAATCAAGGACGTTATCAATCGAGAGTTCTTAATGGTAATCAGAATAAAATATGACATGTTTGTTGTGAAGCAATTTCGTACTATTTGAACACAAGTTGCAAATAAATTAGTAAATGTAGCAAATGAGTTATTGTTGGTAAATTGTGGTTTGATTGTAGTAATAGTTCATCAGCAGAAATTCTCTAGTGACGTCACTTCACGTGGAGTGTATAAACTTCACACAGGTTATGGCCGAACGCTTGTAAATTCCCAACATTCAAAACAAAATGATCGTAGGAAAAGTTTTCAGTGTTCGAGTGTTGTTAATAAGTGTTTTGTGGTTATTGCAAACAACGAGTAAGTAATTTATCGTAATTACACTAAGTAGGTACTTTGCAGAAAATTATATTTTTTTCAGTCAAAAAAACTAATTTGTTTAATAAATTTTTAAGTACAATTTGTATAATTATAAGAAAAATAAAAATAATGATACACTTTTAAAAATAAAAATGCTTAATAAGTAGGTATGTACGCCTTCGCTTTCTTACTTTTTTGGTGCCCATACTTTATTAAAAACAATTTATTTTGTTTGTTGTAAACATTTCTGCGGTTACAAACCACAAAGTTCTCATCGTATTTTGATGTTAATTTTAGTCTATTTTGTTATTTCTTAAGCAATTATTATTGTTTTTTTACGACAAACTTTTTATTAGTAATATGTAAAAAATAACTGCTTTTCTTGGGTCACCAAATTTTTGTATTGATTCTAGTTATTGTTTATTGGTTCACTTAATTTGTTTTGCAACAACGTTCTGATTAAACTTATCAATGAAAATGTTAATTGTAATTCAGATTATTAAATTTTATTTGAAAACGCGTTGTTAATTCTGATATGAAAGATGTCATTTGTAACTCAGAAATAACATTTTGAATAACAGTCTCGGCATTTTAGACTTGAAAATTACAATATAGAACAGAGAAAAAAGGTTTTATTTTCCTTAATTTAAAAATGTTTTAATAAAAAGAGCTAAAGTCCCGGTCAGTTCATAGTGGCCATTTGATTTATTGCAAAGTTGGCAGCCCCTAACCCGCCACCTCTAGTATGTGGGTTGTGTACACAATTGTGACAGGCACAGTAGTTTTTATATGTAAAGTATTCTAACCCGAATTTATAGAATTGTTATTTTTGATAGATACGTATGTCCCTAAAAAACAATTGGATGTTTAAAGTCGGATTTACACAACTCAGTTTTTACAAATTTACACAGGGTACAAGTGGCCACTATGAATTGACCGCGACTTTATGTTCCTGAATTTTATTACGTTTTTTTGATTAGCTTACGTAAAATTTTTCGTCGTTCCACATTGTTATGGTATAAATAATATTCAACAATTTACAATCGTTTAATGCCCGGCCCTTGGAATATTAACATTTTCAGAATTTCTTTTTTTTTAATATGGTAATTTAATACGACGAAAAAGGTTGTACGTATCACGTGCTGTTAAGGGCCATAACGACCGCAGAGGAAGGCCCTCCTTTGGTCGCCATGGTTTTCTTAACAGCCCTCACTACGTATATAACTTTTTTGTTTAAGTGAAAAATGTTGAACAGCACCTATTATAGGCATTTTGATTTTACTCATATGAATTACAACTTATGTTTTCTAAAACACAATTTACAATTTCTAAATTACAAATATCTGAAATTCTATTGATATTTTCTGAAATACTGTTAATAGTGACATTTAATACATATTTACATTTGCGTCAAAAGCCTATTTAATAAAGATCAAAGAAAATTTACAATACATCGTAATTGCATATCTATCATAAATTTGCAGTTAAATTTAAATAAGTTGTTTACAATACAGGATGTTTCACATAATTTTTCGAGACTTGCGCCTGTAAGATGCAATCAATAATACATATTCCGAGACGAACTCGATTACAAATTTTGAAAAATTGGATAATCTTCTCTAGTTTGTTCACCCTTTAAAAAATTACAACGTTTTTAGTTAGTTAGTGATTAAGATAGATAAACTAGAATCATATTCATGCCGTTTCTTGATAGAACAAATGCTAATTGTATCTGAAAAACTGCAGTTTATGACTATTAATGAAACAGTGATTAGTTTGACAACTACTGTCATGGGTTTCCAAAAAACATATAATTACATGTGTATTTTTTGTATCTAGTGTTTTGTGAATTTTGTATATTTGGGTGCGTACATTAGGCGCAAGCCTCCTAAAATTGTGTGAAACACCCTGTACAGATTTTCGTTGTTAAATAAAAATCATATTAAAACTCAAAAGCCTACATTAGTAGGTAAATTCCATATGAAATGCTTGAATATTTTTGTTATTTGTTCAACCGCGACGACAACAAAGAAGGTTTAATGTAAATTAAAGTAATTAAATCCAAATTCACATTATAACTATTTTAAAAGTTTAGTTAAGTTATTTGATTTTAATAAGTTTTTTTAAGTAATGTTAGAAATATTTTAAAGTATCTTCGTTTTATAAAATAATATAATTAGCAATTAACGTTTCTCATGTTATTTCATAATATGTAAATTTATTAAAATCAAAATGTTATATCACAAAACCGGATCATAGATTTCGGCTTATAAATAAATTTATAATGATAGAAAAAATGTATTTTGTATCAAGATCATCGAACATTATTATTTTAACCGGTTCTTCGAAAAATACAATCACGCAAGTTTCAAAACGTTCATCTTTTCGATGGTAATTTCCTGTTTCATCATGACTAACGCACATTTGTCTGAGTTGGCATAATGGAAATTTTTTCAAACTTTTCCCAGATTACGTTTCAACCACCAAAATAGAATGTATTCCCCTGAAACTTTGTCCAATGGCCATGAAACTGATAAAAACCAAACCTTATGCCCCGGAAACGATCGAATTCCTCCGGTACTCGCATTGTGGGTTTGATGGTCATGATGCCAAAGTCTGGTGCACGATATTTTTATATTGCAAAACGCCAGATTCTCGGAATGGTAAGGAAATGAAAACTTTTTGCCAATTAATAACCATGAGTTTCAGGAATTTGTAAAAACATCAAAGAGTGCGATTCTTTCATTAAATATGTGGAGAATGTGGATACACAAGACCCAGTTGTGAGAAAGTACCTCAAGGAATATCAGTGTAGTACCAATCAAGATCCACATGTTAAAATCTGCTGTCCTGATGAGGGAAAATACAATGATATTTTTACAAGCAATGATGTTCATGAGAGATTCTCAAATTACTTCCCAGATCCAAGTTTAGGGGAATGTGGGAAGCAAAATTCCGATAATAAAATTGTTGGAGGCACTGAAACCTACTTAGATGAGTTCCCTTGGTTAGCTTTACTTAAGTATGTTAATGGAAATAAAATTCGTTATTCGTGTGCAGGAAGTTTGATTCATGAACAGTATGTTTTAACAGCAGCTCATTGTGTTGATCCGCAAATCATAAAACAGAAAGAGCTTGGAAAACTGTAAGTTTTGATTCTCGACTTGTCAAACATTTGAAGTAAAAATTTTACTGTTTTAGCCAGAATGTGATTTTGGGTGAATACGACACAAGAAATGAAACTGACTGCATTTACCAGAAATTTGGCAGTGATTGCGCTGATCCTCCTCAAGTATTTACTCCAAAAGATTATATTATTCATCCTAATTACGATTCGTCTTCGATGTTGAACGACATTGCCATTATTCGTCTAGATCGCAAGGCTAAATTCTCAGGTATGCTAATTTAACAAAAAAAAAAGAGATTTTTAATTCTCTTACTTAGATTACGTTCAACCAATTTGTCTACCACCGAAAAATTTGAAATTGCAAGGTAACGAATCATTTACAATAAGTGGCTGGGGACGCACGGAATCAGGTTTGTGTTTATTAATATACAGGGCTGTGTCAGAACTCGCACCCCAGAGAAAAAATTCAAGTAAAATAAGATACTAGGAACATGGAAAAAATGTTTAAAAAATTCTGTTAAAAAATTTTGCCATTTATTTTTTAACATTTGACTTTTTTTTGTCTATTTAATGATTTTGATGATTTTGATCTTGCATATGTTTTTTTATAATGATGTACAAAAATTTTGCCAATAAAAACCACAATTAACATTGAACAGAGTTACAATTTAGGATATATCTTCCTTGTTTCCTCTTCTAATAGCCTGTAGCAAACAAAAAATATTTTTCCAACAGAAATTTCCATGGCATCTTACCTTACCTTTTCTCTGAGGCGCGAGTTCTGGCGCACCCTGTATTTTACAAAGTTTATTAATTCATATAAATTCATATTGATAGAAATATAAATTTTCAGAAGACAGAAGTCCCGTTAAAAGAAAAGCAATAGTACGTAACACAAATAAAAAACGATGTGATGCCAATAATGGACGAAGAGGAATTAGCGATCGACAGATTTGTGTGGGACAAGGGGATGGAGTTGATAGTTGTTATGGTGATTCAGGGGGACCCTTAATGTTAGAAACACAAACGAAAAATAATTCTTATGCCACTTTTGTTGTCGGTTTGGTCTCGTATGGCTATGGGCGATTATGTGGCAACTTTCCGGGTGTTTACACCTATTTACCGGCTTATCTAGAGTGGATAGAGCAGCAATTAAGATGATATTAGCTAAAACTAAGACTGATGTTTTTTAATGTAAAGTATTTTATAAAAAATGACCGCAATGCCAAAAGAAATCAGAGTTGCTGACTGAATTTATTACCTCAAAGAAATAAGAGTATAATATATTTTAATATTTCTTATTTTTTTAAAAGATATTCAAAACAAGACTATTTGCAAAACTACTTCTATTAAAATTCTTCTTGACAAAATCTTAGACTAGTTTTTCCTTATTCTGAGATTTAGAAACAAAAATTAAACTGTAAATAAACTGTTACTGTAAATACACATTTTGCAAAAAAGCAATTAAACTAATCAATGTTTTTAATTTAACCCACCACGCAAGGTACTCGTTAGACTTATCCAAACAAAATGAAAACAAGCAATAACAATTATTCTTCATTTATACGATTGTGTATGTAGAGAGAGAAAAGTAAACATCTGTCGCGGACATAACAGTAAAAAAATGTAAGTGTTACTTAAAAGTAAAAAATAAACAAAGTTGTTGATATAAATTCGTCTTAAAATAGATAAAAGTACATTATTACTGAGAATAATTTGATTATTGTCAAATGGGCAAATAAACGTATCTTAATAAAATCACAATTTTATTAGAATTGTCTCAGCCCATTATCAATCCATCAGATACTCGACTTCGCCTTGATCGACTCCACAAGATCCGATATAGCAATACCATTTTGCTTGTTAAAATTATTCTCATTCGTAGCGCGTATCTTATCGAAAATTGCAAACTTTTTTTCATCGCGAGGTCTCAAATTTCCATTCTTCTTCATTGAAAAATAGACATGTTCCAAAATACCATGACTTCGAATAAGATACTCCCTTTGAGCTAGTCTTTGAAGCCGATCTCTTTCTTCTGATTCAACAATCATTTGTGGTTCTGATGAACTCATTACAGACAACGCTGCGGTAGATTTCGACGTTGGTTTGTTTTGATTCGGTGTTTCTAGTTTTTTGGGCGCTGGGGGTTTTATTGGTGGAACCACCACTCGTTTTGCAGCTTCCAATCTTGCTTTCAGTTGCATTTCGTCTCGTAAAGCGTTTTGGGCTGCTTCTCTTGCTCTGCTAGCTGCAGTTTCGGAATATAACGAGCCTTGTCCTTGATCAAAAAATTTGTTGTAATGTACTTTAGTTGTTTGAGTTGGATAGACAAATCTGAATCCTCCACGACTGTTCATCTCAAGTCTGTAATAATCGTCAAAACTGACTACGACCGGAGGCTGATGATCCTTGCCGTGAAGTAATCTTTCTCTTATACGTTTTCTGTCTTCTCTCATGACTTTTCTTTTATCACATTTGTCTAAATTCATCATTGCAAACATATCCGAAAGAAGAGCTTCTTTAATCTCCCAATCTAGAGCTGTATCTGTGTGAAAACTAGGAGAGTGATTCACTTCTAAAATCTGAGGGTTTAGTCTTTTATCTAGGATAATATCAACTCCTAGTAATTCACTACAAGCCGGAATCACATCATGGTTGGGAAAACAAGCGGCGTAACTGTGTTTTAAGACAGGAGCTGCACTTATTACTGTTTTAATAATAACATCGTCGATTCTTTTCCAAATACCTTCAACATCGTGACCCAGTTTTCGTAAATAATTGTTAAACCACGACAATTTTCTTTTGCTACCTGCCTCTGTGTCTTGATTGTAAGTTCGACTGTATTTATTTACTGCATAGTTAGTTAAATGCATGAAAACATTAGAAATGTTAACTGCGTTAGGTTCTTTATACCTTGTGGTCGCAAATCTGACTAAACCTTCTTCATAAATATAAATTCGTAAGGGGTCACATGAAGTAATTAATGTATATATTCTCAAATCAAATTTGTAACCATCTATAAGATAAGGTTTGTTGATGTAGACTTGACAAACTCCCCTATCACATGGTCTAATATCTTTCAAACTTTTTGTTACAAAAATTCCCCGTCCTTGGCTTCCGGCGTCCGGTTTTAATATAAAAGTTCTGTTCCGACGCAATCTACTATAAGTTAGGGCTTCACCCAAATCAGCAGGCAGACACCAGGTCCTTGGAAAAAAATTATATTCTTTGGGAAAAAGTCTGAGCATTCTGTTGAGATTCCGTGCTAAGAGATCCTTTCTACATATTTCCAACATTCCTGGAAAATGGTTGATTTTCTGGTACCGTTTCATTTCCTTGCACCGTTCGACCGTAATAGAAAGGTCAGTCCAATACAAATTCCAATTTTCATTTTCGCTCACCTCTTTGTATGCAAATTTGGCAGCGATTTTCCTAATGACTTCATAGCGGCAATTTGTCAAACACACTGAAATAATATTTTTACGTTTTTTCGTGATTTTTCCTTGAATTAGAGGTTTTGGTATTGGTTTTTGAGGTTTGATGGGTTCATTCGCACTCTCTGAAGAACTATCTGATGCGTCGCTGCTTTTCGAATCTTCAGCCATAGGAGGATGACGGAATTACATTAAATCGGGTCACAAATTTTGACTAAACTGTCAACGTCATTTATTTTGAGCGAGAAAATGAACTGATTGACTTTGGGATGAATGAATTTAAGACGATGACCCCTAATGGAGTCGTTGAGGCCAGTAGTGGACTGCCGATAACAATGTCAAGGAGAACGGGAACAGACTACTTTCTTCAACGGTTACTTTAGTAATGATTGCTGTTTGACAATGTTGACACCTAGTGCAGTGTTTGTGTACTTGACGGCCGCTCTTTTTCTGCAAATATGCACAGGTACGACCAAATTTTAAAAAATAGATAAGTAAAGAGAACCTTGACATTCTTTTGTAGCGGTTCCAGAAGAATGTTTAACACCAAATTCGGAACTTGGCTGGTGTATAAATTTGCAAGAATGTCCCACTGTCTATACACTTTCAAATAATTTCAATGCTCCAATTACTATTGAAACGTTAACATTTTTGATGCAATCACAGTGCGGATTTAATGGTACCAATCCAAAGGTGTGTTGTCCCAGAGAAGAAATAGAGTCAACAATTAGTGTTTGAGTGTCGATTTTTATTGAACATTAATCTTGTTATTAGCTATTAAATATTGTAAGTGTTTGTAAACGTATAACAAGCCGTAAAAGAGAAAAAATAAAATTGTGACAGTTTATTTCAGTTTATAAATTATACCCTTAAGTTGGTTCGGTGGTAATATTTGAGGAATTGTCAAGACTACTTATTTATGATGTTCTGATATTTTATGCGGATGTAAAACGTACATAAACCGCCACTATAAAGGCCGTAGAGCTTTCAGTGCGCATATTAAATGCAGTAATGGCTCGAAATTTTTACAACCTATAAAGAAGGGCTGAGGCGTTGATACAAAGCGACAACGTGACAAAAATTTGCGTCGTAAAACCGCTAAATTTAAAATATTCTTGAATACAAATGGACGAAATTATAAGAGTAACCGAGTGAGCTTTCGGTTCATTGCCAAAACCGAACCTTTTAATCGCCCCTGATTACAGAGTTTAGGGAACGACAGAAGGGCTATTTATGCGTCGGTCAAGCCATATTTTAAAAAGCACATATATCACAGCACATGCTTCCTGCAGTGGCCGATGGTGAGGATTAACTCTCCATTATTCACGCGTTTCAGGATGACTGATCTTTTTATGAATTAAAAGCCTTTCTCGACTGAGAAATTGCGATAACAAAAATAAGGATTGACTCGAGCATAACGCATTAATGCTGGACATGGACCATTTTTGAAAGGGTGACAAATAATTAAAAATTTATATATGAGACAAAGTGGGCTCTGTCTGGACGAAGGGACAAAGCAAATTACGTCAAAGGTTGCTATAGCGTCGCATAGGTAATGGACAAAATAAGAGCAATATCCCTCTCGGACGCCAATTCCCTCTCGCTCTTCATTTCCCTATTTTTAAAGTTGATCCAACATCACAGGTAAAAGGGGGAAGAATGAATGCGGTGGAATCAGGTTACAGGACAACCCCAAGGGTCCACAAACTTTCAAAACAGAAGATGAGTTTAATAAATTTGTTGAAATAAAACAAGAAACTCTTAAACTACAGCAAATATTTCCGAATAACGCTAATTAGAACGATTTCATTTCTGCTTAGTGCGCCCCTCCGTGTGCGTAAAGCCAAAGATCGATTTTAACTTATATGGCTTTATTAAAATACCCATGTATGGTGGCCCTCTGAGGCACAAAGCAATCTAAATTTGAAGCCAGTGGCCAAGTTTCGCTTTTGTTACACGCGACTGTTAATTAAGATCCCTTATTAACATTCGTTTCAAATATTTATTTGTTCAGATGGGCGTTAAAATTACCGATATTAGCCCCTAGCGGCGGTATTTTATACATGGATGCTCTCTCTGGATAAATTGCTATTGATTCTTGGTTATCAGAAGATGAGGAAAAGTTATCAGCAACATGTCCATAAAGCACGTTTTAATCAACTTCACCTTTGCAGAAACTAGTTCAATACTCGTTTTTCTGAAAAAAAAAAAAAAAAACAAACGAAATTATCCTAGGATGAGAAAAAGTACAATTAATTAGAAAATATTTCAGCAATTTTGCTTCGTGAAATTTAGCAAAGGGTTGAATTTATGGAACGTGGTTACAGTTTCTGTAGCGAGATTCCTCACAACGGCATACTTATTTATCTCACAAATTGAGGAAACATTTTTCAGACGTTATACATGGACGAGCCACTCTAAAATAATATTAAATACACGACGTACATTTAGTTAAAAACAATGTCATGAGTGCCAATTTAATCAATCACCATTTAGCCAAAGCAATTTTTGTGCGAGCTATTTCAATCTTGGTTTCATGTAGGTGGTTAATTTATTTTGTGTTTCCCTTTCCTGAGATACGCGTAAATGATTTCATACATTACATAAATATCAATAGTTTTTTCAGAACAATAATAATGTTCAAAAGGGAAGTATTATAAGTAGTTTCAGAACATTTTAACCTTCAAACATCCCATTAAAGCACTGCAGGAGTTTAGGCCTACATAATAAAAATTTCCATCCTTGTAAATAGGATATAAAATGTTACTTCTGGACCGGATATTTGGCATCTTTAAAAACAAGGCGGAATCCTAAAAATTTAGCTGTTTCCAAAGGTAAACAATCAAAGATAGCCTAAAATCCTTCAAAAATCACTAATTTTTGTACGCGCTGAAAGTACTCAAATATCTATAGACCATCAGAAATTGGGCATACGAAAAAACCCGTTGAAAATCATCCAAAATCAATCAAAATTACATTAAAAGCACCCAAAAAAACCCTTACAAAATCCCTTGTTTTTAGCCACCTCAAAATGGCTTTTTACTTCTAGGCCAGTCGATTTAAGACATGCAAAAAATTCACCGGTCGGAATGGCGACCGGTAAAAATATTAAACAAATAGAAGCTCTTGTTTTTAAACATCCCAAAATGGATTTTCATTTCTGGACCAAGGCAATTGACACATACAAAAATCATTAATAAACAACCGAAAAGAGCCAAAAATCTTATTCAAATTTCTGGTTTTCAAAACATCAAAATTAAGTAAATTAGTCCCAAAAAGTTATTAAAATTATTGAACAAGAGGTCAAAGTTCCTCATTTTTAAATACCCCAAAGTGGCTTTTCATTGATGGTAAAAAAATTGTCAAAATAAAAAAAGTGTATCAACAGTCTTGTTGTCTGAATTCCAGATGGAACCGCTGCAAAATCAGAAGATCCAATATCTACTACTCTTATTACTTTTTAAGACAAAATATTAGTTAGTTCTAGACTAGAAAAATTGGGCACTTTAAAAACAACCCAAAAAGGTAATGAAACGACCGAAAAAAGAGCCAATTTTTTTTCAAATCCCGCGGTTTTCAACACCCCAATATTTTTTGTGATGTCGTTAATTGCAATTAGGAAAAGTGTGACATTGAAGACCGATCATTGCGAGCAGACATTCTCTAAGGTATGGGTGACTGAGTGTGTCCCATTAGCCCAAACTTTGAACTTGCGGTTATGTAGAAAATTGAAGATAAAGTGAAAGATTTTTTCGTGAATGTTCGATTCTGTAAGTTTTCGGAGTACATTTGGTTTCCAAACCATATCGAACGCTTTTTCTATATCAAAAAAGATGCAAAGGGTTTTTTGTTGGGTGGCAAAAGCTTCATGGATTTCTGATTCCAGATTAATTATGTTGTCTGTTGTCGATCTGTATTTTCGAAAACCATCTTGAGAATGATTAAGTAATTTTTTGTTTTCTAGATACTAGAGTAGGCGCGTATTGAGTATTTTCTCAAAGACCCCTTGCACATGTTACATGTCAGAGAGATTGGTCTGTAGGACGCCGGTTTAGAAGTGTCTTTGCCTGGTTTTAGAAATGGGAGGATTGTGACTTGATTCCAAAAGGGCTGGGAATGTGTGGGAGACAAGGATTTTATTGTAAATAGAAAGTAGATATTGTTTCCCGGTTGGAGGCACATTTTTGAGAAAAATTACAAGGATGTTATTAGAGAGGTATAAAATTTAATACTGAACAAAGGCAAAAGGCAAAAAATGATTTCAAAAAAGATTTATGAAAACTAATTAACTAATTAAACTTATTAATGCCCCATATGGTAAGTCTATAAAGTAGTATGAAGTCTGTTAGAAACCAACAAATTACTAAATTATATTGTGACAAAGAAAAGTTACAAAAAACGATAAATAAACCTAATTTTAAACACAGAAATATATTTAGCAAACACCTGGCAGCAGTTCATAATTTATTATAAAACCAAAGTATTGTTTAATAAACTAATTTTCAGTGGGCAAGCTGTATTAGATTTATCGAAATTGTTAATGTATAACTTCCATTACAATGTAATTAAAAAAGAATTTATTGAATTTATAAAACTTCTTTATGGAGATTCTGGTAGTTTTATACTTATCTGAGATTAAAAATGCCGATTTCTATGAATTTATGAAAAACAATTCCGACTATTTTGATACATCTGACTAAAAAGATGATCCATTATATTCTGATAAAAATAAGAAGGTACTAGGAAAATTCAAAGATGAATTGAATGGTATTAAGATATTAGAATACATAGGTATAAGGTCAAAAATGTATAGTTACAGAACTGAAGATTACAAAAATTGCTTATTCAATCAAACAGAATACTTCCATAGACAGAAAGTGGTCAGAAGTCATACACATGATATATTTACTAAAGAAGTAAAGCACATCATTGCCTTTTTACATGATGACTTCAGCAGTCCCATACATAGAAGTTTTAGTTCATTACACCAAAATAAACATCAGGAAACTGTACGAAAAATATTCAACTAATTATTTTTGATTTGCTGTAGTTCAGACGGTTGTCCTCTTTTTAATGGTGTATAATATTCTGCTACAAGGTTGTTCTCTTTAGTATTGGTCATTTTTTATTTATTGTAAAAAAATTGTGTACTTATTACGCTTTCGATAAATCCCAGCAATAAAGATAAGTGTTTGACAGGCTAAGGTCTCTTGCGTTTTTACGATACAACTTACCGTTATTAAGTAAAACCAGTTTTAAAATTCATGTTACAGACCATAAACAGCACAAAAATTAAAAAATTCGTTTTACCATTTAAGACGCCCGCGATTAAAAATTTCGACAACTGATCTTTGAATTCATTCATGTGTTTAAAGGCTGTACCAACT